GGCCTTCCCATAAACCTCTTCCCAAGTATCTCCTTTAAATAGGAGAGCAGTATCATCTGCAAATGAGATAATCCGGCCTTCCCCGAGATCTAGATCACAGAGATCATTCATATACGTTAGGAAGAGGGTTGGTCCCATCACACTTCCCTGAGGAACACCGTATTGGATGGGGAGGTCGTCACTGAAATTCTGATTAATCCTTACTCTCTGATATCTGTCAGTCAGATAACTCTGGAATAGTTTGAGTTGTAAGCCCCTCACTCCCAGGCGTTCTAGTTTTTGCAGCAAGAGTGGAACTGAGACTGTGTCGAATGCTTTTGCTAGGTCCAGGAAAATTACGATTACCTTATTTTTTGCGTCGAGATTAGTAACTATATAATTTGTCAGTTCATGAATTGCTAGGTTGGTTGAGCGACCTGACCTGAACCCATATTGAGAACTCGATATTAAATTGTTTTTATCTAAATAGTTCGTGAAACGTTTATTGATGACTTTTTCGAAAATTTTTGAGATGCTAGGAAGGATGGAAATAGGTCTATAGTTCGTTACACAGTCCCTGTCACCACTCTTGTGTATCGGAAGAATTTCAGCTAATTTCAGAACGTCAGGGAAAGTACCAGTGGTTAAGGCTAAATTGCAAATGTATGTAATTGGTTTAGTAAGTATGTCTCTATATTTTTTTAGGACCGCCCCCGATATGTTGTCTCTACCAACCGAGCCATCAGATTTAAGGTTCTGTATAATGGACTCTATCTCGGCACAGTCAGTGTCCAACAGTACCAGTGACTTAGAGTGTGATTTAAAAGCATTATTCATATTGTAGGATATAGGAGACATTGGAACTTTATCTGAATATTCTTTACCAATCTGTACAAAATAATTATTAATATTATTAATTGAAACAACAGGGTCAGTCGAAAGTAGTTCCGCTGAGCTTAACTTGTTTTTATTGATATTTGTAGCTGTTGAAATTGCACTCCACAACTTTTTGTTCCCGTTTTTAGCTGCATTAGAGATTTCGAATTTATTATGTTCTCTTTTAAGTCTTTTAATTAACTCATTGCAGAAGTTTCTGTATCTTTTATATGTTATTTTTAGTACTGTGTTGTTTACATTTTGTTTTAATTTTTTATTCATGTTGTCTCGGTTCCTCATGCATCTGAGTATTCCCGGTGTTATCCACGGTTTGTAAATTTTTTTACGGTTTGAAATTTTGATTTTTAATGTATTCATCAGGATTGCGTTGCTAAGAGTGTTAACTAGGAAAGATGTGGCTACATTGGCGTCGGATAACGAGTAGATAGAGTTTATATCACTTGATTTCAGTGCAATTTCAAGTTTTTCATAGTTGATACGGGATGTTGTCTTGTGGGATTGTTTGTGCATTTGAGTATTAGTTTCTAAAATTATATAGGTAGAATTATGATCAGTAATAGATGTTTCTGATACATAACAGAAAGCTTGTAATTTGGATTTAATTATTATGTGGTCTAAGCACGTTTTGTTGTGAGTGGGGTAGTTAAAAGCTGGCAGCATTCCATGTATACATAATGTATCTAAATATTTACTGGAAATTTCATTGTTATCAATTATGTCAATATTGATGTCACCTATCAATATTATATTTTTTATGTTTGAATTTTGATATAGAAATTTACTAAGAGAGTCAATAAATTTAGTTGGATCGGATATACCCCACGGTCTATATATTGCAATAATTAGTACATCCAAATTTAATTTCAAAGCAAGACAATTACAGTCGGAAATGTCAGGTTCTTCAACTCTTACATTTATCGTACTATTGACATATACGACGACTCCCTCATTTTGCGTGCGATTGTGGATGGTGGAATAATAATTATAATTTTGAACATTAGGTATACTGTCTGTTTTAGGTAACCAACATTCTGATAGTATGATGACGTCCCAGAATATATTTGTTCTGTGTATTAATGTTAAAAAGTTATCTAGATTTGCAGTAATGCTTCTGATATTTTGGTGTGTTATATTTAAGTAGGATGTACCGTGCTTTTTTTTTATTGGAAAATTATCAATGCTAGGGAGAATGTACGAGTTTGCTATAGAAAAATTATCAATGCAATGTAAAGCGTCGTGGGACTTATCGAATTTTAGTATAATGATATTTTGGAGTCAAGACTTGCTGATGCAATAATTTGTAAACATGTATTTATTATGAAATGATGTATACCGAATATGTATAATGGTACATATTTACACCGCAGGGTAATAATTTCGTAAGGAGGAGAGTGATCTAACATGGTATGACGATTATTTATTTTCATTTTGATTTTGAAGCTGTGAATGTTTGTTTTGTGTATATTTGTAATGTACATGTGAGTTAGTTTGTTTGTGTTATAATGTGATAGGATATATTGATTATTGTTAAAAATGTTTGAATAGTAGGTATGTATGAGTGTATAAGACAATTGTGTAAGTGTGTGTCGCTTTAGAGTATGTGTATGTTTACATATAATAATAAAACCAGTAGCAAGCAAATGTTTAGGAATTACTAGTCAAATTCTGCATAGTTTCTGTAAATCCTCTTCATCATCAATTCGGATGGTCGGAGATTTTTCTGTCTTCCGAAGATATACTTTGCCATACGCAGTCCAAGCCCCATAGTACCCATTTCTGGTGGCAAATTCTTTAGCCAAGAATCGCAGTCTCCTAGTTTTCCCGGTAAGAGATTCATCTATGTATATTGGTAAATGTGGGTTCGGAATCATAGGTAGGTTAATATGCGAAGTATTTAGTTTAGGTCTTTTATTCATTCCACTTTCTCTGTTAAACTGTCTACATTTTTTAATAAATTGGTCCTTTAAGATGATTGACTTGAGACGGACAATAAGGTGACCATTACTTCCTTGTTTTGTTCTCTGTCGGTAAACTTCAGTTATTTCCGAGTCATTGATGGAGTACCCTATCGTGTCACCAATACTCTTAACTATTGTACAGAGCATCTCAGGATTTTCTGATGGTTGTGGTGGAATATTTTTAACTTCCATAGTGCAGGCTCTTTGATTGCGTTCCATACCTTCCATTTTGCTCTCCAAATCTGTAATTCTCTTTTTATAACTTAGATTCTCCTGTCGCAGGTCGTCAATCTGTGTCACAAATTCATCATACTTTTTCGAAATAAATTCGATTGATTGTTGAAGTTCTTCATTCTGAGTTTTTACATGGTTTATATTAGTGATCATTTGCTCAATTTTTGCGTTTTGTCGACTTTCAAACTTATCGAACAAGAGTTGCAGTTCTGAGAGAATTGGATACGATTTTTCCGGCGAGTTTTCGATTTTACGCTTTGTATTTCTCCTCCCAGAGAATGAATTATCGTTGTTTTCATTATTCGATGTTGTTTGATTAAGTAGTGGGTCAGAGTTAAAGCTTTTTAGGCTGTTTTCCTTGCCATGGAGCTTCATTGGGCTTCTTTGAAGTGTCATTTCGTTGAGGAAACAATTTATAAATTAGTTTGTAGGCCTAAATGAACCGACGGCAAAGTCCGGTGACAAATGATGTCCACAGGTGGGCGGAGCTTGTTAGAGTGGAACGTCCGTGTTAGAGCAAGACAGTTATATGCGTCTGCGCTTCCGTTTGTAATTCCGATAGGCGGCGGCTCGTTCAATGTGAGCGAGATAGACCCAGTTTAGAAGAGACAAAATATAGGTCTATAAAAGCGATTTTTTCACTGATTTAGTTGATGTTAGAAATAGGTTCACTCCTACTCACATGTGAAGACTTCGCACTGTCTCGATGTTATGCACTCCTGGTAGCACCGTTGACTTTCAATATAAATATTCTATATAATTATTTTATTTATTTCAAATAATGGCTAAATTTTGACAGAGTTCTCTTAAAGCACGTCCACTCTATGAGACATTCCAGTGGGGAGAGACATATTAAACTAGAGGAGTAGAAAAAATATCTAACGCAACTTTAGAATACACTTGTGCTTTGTCAGTTTAATCACATACGTAGTTTAAAAATTATATGTCATAAACTCGTTATCATCAATCAAAATCGTGTAACTGAATGCCCATTTTTTAACCGAGTTCAAAAAAGGAGGAGGTTCTCAATTCGACTGTATGTTTTTTTTTGTATGTAGGTATTATCTCCTGTGTAAGTCCCGTATAGTGGCGAACTAAGGAATGAATCCGGGATTGCGCACTTTCCGGTAACAGATTTCAATAAAACATGGCAAATAGATGTAATTCCACGTATTTTGAGGTTTTTTTTAGTACTCTGTACTGAGATTATCAAGATCTTCAAGTTTATGTTGAGCGTTTAAAGTAGATTTTTTTAAATGGTCTGTATGCATTTAATTTCATTTTGCAATGCGTATTAGGTTTGAAAATTGTGGCCCTTTAAAAATTACTTTCTTTATTAACATTAAAAAGTAACATTGATATTAAATTAATAAACTCCTAAGGACGCGTTCCCATTATGTCCTAACGTATTATTTATCGTTGGACGACTGTCGCGTCTAGCCTGTTCCCATATCACGACTATCTGCCGTGACTGTGTCGTGGACATTTATTTTATCATTGAACGACCGTCGTGTCTAGCTGTTCCCACTAGCTTGTGACGAAAATTTATCGGTTCACGGCAGCCGCCTTGTCGTTTGCACGACAGAATCGTTCGAAGCTGCGATTATCTGGCATTTTTATCGCGAAGTTTTATTTATCGTCAGACGACTGTCGTTCTAGCTCTTCCCATTGTCGCGACAGTCTGTTATAACGTAATGTCAAAAAAGTCGTTAACGACAGTCAATCGTGTTGTACTATATGTGAACACCTTCATTTAAATATACAAGCTACGACACTTTAAACTGTACGACTCTCTGTTGTCACGACATAATGGGAACGAGCCCTTACGCGACCAAGCTGCCTGGTAGGTCTGATCATTTGAATTTCGAGCGACTGTTGATAGTCGACTTCTTTTCTGATAATAGACTCTACAGTTAGTCTGATCTCACTTACCCTTCAAAGAAGCATTGCGCTGCGGAAAGAACGTTTTGTACTGTGAGCAGTGTTCCTGCACATACTGGAGACCCTCTCGCAATTATCTGTAAAATTATACACACGTTACACACGTCGAATATATTGAGAGGCTTCCGTTTCTCTCAACTCAATATCTCTAAACAATAAGAATTTACATAGGGTAAATTAAAAGTTTGCATTTTAGAATAGGTACGCTTTTTCTAAATAGACCACAATTATAAATATCTTTATTTCATAACTAAGCAAATTACACTTGAAGTCTAATAGAAGAACAACCTAATTAGAAAATATTATAGTTTAAACCTATTTTTTATAAATAGAAGTTTACTCATAAGTATCATCAACGGTAGGAACAGACATCACACTCATGGCGTTTCGTCATCAGAGAAAAATATAGAGTAGTAACTTTGCATTGCAGATCAAGAATACATCATCTCTATAGACTTTTAAAGCGCATGTGCGCAATTATCTTTTTAAGAATCTTCCCGATCAAGACAATGCATAATGTTGCTGTGGGTACTTGCATATTAAATACAATATGTTCATTATATATCGGGTTTTTCAATATCGACTGTGAACTGGCAACCCGTACTATCTCAATTTTCTAAAAATTTCAGTTTTTAATAGGTATCACTTTATATTATTTCATACTCCGCAGTGTTGAAAGAAATTCCATCTCAAATACATTTAATTTTGGCGCCAGAATCGACTTCATTCAACTTGTACTAACTTCTAACCAGATGCTATATAAATGACGCAAACAATTCTTTTCTGCACCTGTAAAATTGTTAAAATTGAGATAGTACCGGTTGCCAGTTCACAGTCGATATGTTATATACAATCACGGACCTCGGGAAGAACAGTACGTGCTTCTTTAATCCCTGTCATTTTAACCGAGCTCCGCGCCGTACGGTCGTTAATTTTATTTAAAATATAAAATTGTTCGAAATGTTCTTTAGTACACTTTTAAAAAAATCTAAATTCCCCGTTATTGGGGTCCACGTTCCGGGCCACGAATCCCTTTAGACTGGTGCTGCCGCATTCGCACGGACTCTGGGCAACTGGACTTCGGACCCAACCCTGGTCGCACTATCGGCCCCCTCGCTAGTGCCTGAAGACTCAGGGAAGTGCCTTACTACAGGGAAGTGTCTGAACATTTTAGTATGGGCATTACGAAACCTCAATTTAAATAAAGTGTGTGTCGAGCTTAACGATTCTGTCGTTTTATTTATTTAGACGCCTACCGAAAGCCAGCTCTTCAAACGCGACACTGACATAAACAGCAATTTTGAATTTAATTAAAACACAGGATAATAAAGATATCGAGATGAAATTTATTCCACGTGCTGTACCCATGTTACATTTAAGAATGGAATTCGATCTGATTCGTACGACCATCGCGAGTACGTTTTGCAGCGTTCAATTCTTCGGAGACTAGTTTTCACCACTCTTCCACACATAGAATAGAACACGGCAGAAACGCTGGCAATTTGACGTAAGGTTACACGTTTGATTCCTGATCTCATTTGACGCTGTTGGCTTGTTGGCATAAACCAACGACTTAACGTAAACCCATAAAAAGTAATCCAACGGGCGGCGTTAGATCGCATGAGCGAAGTGGCCATTCGACCGGATCATTTCGCAAGATTACACGATTATCGATCTTCCTCTTCAATAGATCGATTGTTTTATCAGCTGTGTGACCGGTGCAAACGTGCTCGCCGTGTTCATATGAACGAGATCGAATTCCATTTTTAAATGTAACATGTGTACTGCACCTGGAATAAATTTCAGTTCGATATTTCAATTATTCTGTGTTCTATTGAAATACAACATTGTTATATCCTTGTTGGAAAGCATTATATATATTATGTATATTTATGTATGTATTGTTTGTTTACTATACTTAGTCTGGCCATAAATACTGTTACACTTAAAAATAAAAAAATATTACATTTGAATTTCGAATCTGTCATTTTTATACGATTGTTCATTGTGTTTTCTCAATTTGGCGCCAATACATTGTATTGCGTACAATATATTGCGATATTAAAATGGAGTGGGGTGATAAAGAGAACCGAATCGCTGTGATTGCATTGCACAAAGTAGGTATGGAGCCAAATGCAATTTTTAAAACCTCCATACAGTTGGTATTAGTAAAATGTTTGTGTACCGGGCTATTAATAGGTACAATGAGACTTCCTCTGTTTGTGACAGAAAAAGATCTGGCCGTCCACGTAGTGTTCGTACGAAAAAGGTGGTCAAAGCAGTAAGGGCAAGAATTCGAAGAAATCCTGTCCGAAAGCAAAAGATTTTATCTCGGGAAATGAAGATAGCACCTAGAACCATGTCGCGTATTTTAAAAGATGACTTAGGACTTGCAGCCTATAAGAGACGCACTGGTCATTTCTTAACTGATAATTGAAAGAAGAATAGGGTGGTAAAATCGAAAGCAAAGGGAGTTAAAAGAAAATTTTGTTTACGGATAAGAAAATTTTTACAATTGAGCAACATTTTAACAAACAAAATGACCGTATTTATGCTCAAAGCTCTAAGGAAGCTTCCCAATTAGTCAACAGAGTGCAACGTGGACATTATCCGACTTCAGTGATGGTTTGGTGGGGTGTTAGCTATGAAGGAGTGACTGAGCCATATTTTTGTGAAAAAGGTATCAAAACATCGGCACAAGTGTATCAAGATACCATTCTTGAGAAGGTAGTTAAGCCCCTTAACATCACCATGTTCAATAACCAAGTATGGTCCTTCCAGCAAGACTCGGCGCCGGGTCATAAAGCTCGGTCCACGCAGTCTTGGTTGGAAGCGAACGTTTCGGACTTCATCAGAGCTGAAGACTGGCCGTCGTCTAGTCCCGATCTTAATCCGCTGGATTATGATTTATGGTCAGATTTAGAGAGTACAGCTTGCTCTAAACGCTATGATAATTTAGAGTCCCTAAAACAATCTATACGATTGGCAGTGAAGAATTTTCCCATGGAAAGAGTGCGTGCTTCTATTGATAACTGGCCTCAACGTTTAAAGGACTGTATTGCAGCCAATGGAGACCACTTCGAATAAGCTTTTTATATTTTTAATTGTTGTATACTTATGTATTAAACTAACACACTATAAAAGTAATAAATGTTACTTGCAGTTAAAATAATATTTTTTTTCTTTATTACAATATTTATGGCAAGACTAGGCATAATTATGTATATTAAGTATGTTTCTGTGCTATATTATGTTTATTTTATACCGTATAAATTAACCATCACATTTTGACTTATGGTATTATTTTTTAATTTTTGTTTTAATGGTAACACCTACTTTTTTTCCTGTTTGTCCTAGTGGTTTACTGGTAGATAATACCTTATGGCATTAGGTCTGCCATTTGTAAATTATTGATATGTGATTCATTATTGAAATGTCATGATTAAATAAACACATAAATTACTTTGAATGACAGTAAACATAAGTAGTAATTTTTATTTCTAATGTAAAAATCTGTTTGATGTATATAATTAAACTCAACTAAATCAATATGACTAACTTTCTAGTAAGGATCCCGCTCCTGAGGAAACGAAATTTAACAACTTTGTTATCGAAATTGTACCTGAAAAATACTTTATTTGTTTTTACCACATGATCATTGATTCTTAATTGAAACTTCTAGTAATGAGATTTAACTCTTTCAGTTTCACTGTTTATAATGTAATAATGCGTCTTTGTGCTGATTAATTGTAGAGTCACGTTTTTCAACAAGAAATAATCAGCACTCAACCATTGGTGAGATGATTCCATTAGTTTTAGTAGCAGTAGAGCTCCTTGTGAAAAGGTTCGTCCAGGGAAGTACTGCCACCTTACCTGTTTCTACCGCCAAGCTGTAATGGTCACATTACTGTGTTCCGGTTGTGAAGGGTAAGGGTGCTGGTGAAATTACAGGCACATGAGACTTGTCAACTTATGTCTCAGGGTGACGGGCGCAGAGGCAGTGCCCCCAAGATCTTTGTAATTTAAAGCTCTTGGTGGCACTGCAACTGTTATGGGCATGCGTGTAGCTTACCACCAGGCTCACGACTTGTTCGTCCCGTCACTTACTATTATAAAAAAAAAAAAAAAAAAGTTTACTCTACAGCATAATCCGTACTTTGAATTGTGTGTTTAAATTAAAGTTTTAACTAAGATATATAACCAGGTGTTTAGGTATATAGGATGCGGAGTGACGTGTATCCGTTACTAAGTAACCAAACCTGTTTAGTCATTCTATTACTAACTGATGATTGTAAAATTTTTTACACGGATGGAGCCGTCTGAGGCGTCATCGTGTTTTTCGGAGTTTGGCGTACTGAGTTAAGGAATTGGGGCGGAGGATTGACGTGTAACCATACTTGTTTAGTCATTTTATTATTCGCTGATGAATATTAAATGTATTACATATTTTAATCTGCTTACTTTACGTATATAAAACTGAGTAAATAAATTATTTATTATAACAAATTTTTCCGAATATTAAGTAAAAACAAAATTCGTTTCTGACCTACTTTCTTATTTTAAGTATAATTTTTAGCACAGTGTCAAAGGAAGTAGACAAACATGTACCAATTTCTGTATATAATAAATACCTGTTTTCATTCTAGACACAAAATACGTTGGTTACTACAAACCTGTACAGCAAATGGGAACATTTGAATAATGGCCGGGTCCCCTCCTACGATGCGACTGTCGATCGGTGCAATCTTATTGAGATCCACAAATTGTATCTTATCTCCTTGAGTGCCGGACACTGGATAAAAAAAAAATGGGAGTTTAATCTTTAACACTGCTACGAATGATTATGATAATAGCTATCGCTAGGCGAAGTCGATTATTGGATTTTCCCGCTAACGACAGCTATTTATCATTACAATCATTGACTTACAATTATATGGACGTCGGGTCCGCGCTAAAAAGTGTCCGCACTTGTAAGGCGCTAAAATCGTATACAGAGCGCGACACTCCGCCTTAGTCTTCATTTGTTCTACGGACAGCGCGATACTGCGATGACATAACAATTTAAATTTCGAATAGGTTGACTTGGGACATTTTTTTCGTGGTTTTTGTATTAGACCCGTCGTCCATTTATTTGTAAGTCAATGATTACAATGTAAGAGTCGATACAACTTCAAATGGCTTTGCTTGATTCCGTATAACAGTGAAAGTGTCGAATCCATCACTTTGAAAAATATATATAGTAAAATCATTGACTTACAATTATATGGACGTCGGGTCCGCGCTAAAAAGTGTCCGCACTTGTAAGGCGCTAAAATCGTATACAGAGCGCGACACTCCGCTTTAGTCTTCATTTGTTCTACTGGCAGCGCGATACTGCGATGACATTACAATTTAAATTTCGAATAGGTTGACTTGGGACATTTTTTTCGTGGTTTTTGTACTAGACCCGTCGTCCATTTATTTGTAAGTCAATGAGTAAAATAGAAGATATACACTGAATACTATACGGTGTGAAAACACGATTCCTAAAATTTCACGACAGAAAAAAACACAAGCTTATCTGGAAATTTTATTAAAAAAAAATATGTGCAAAGTTGGATATTTTGTTCTTAAATAATTCGTTTTAGACTTTTATTTTACACTGTTTTTAGGACGACACTATTTTATTTGATCAGGTAAAATACATCCTATTACGTAACAAATTAGCACGTCCGTCAGACATTATCCTTAGGGGTAACGCATATTTTTTATAACACCATTATTAATAGTAAATACCTAAATCATTTGATCTAGCATCAACTACCAAAATGTAGTCCAATTAAACTAAGAGCGCGTTCCCACTATGTCGTGACGACAGATTGTCGTGCAGTTTACAGTGTCGTGGCTTGTATATTTAAATGAAGTTGTCCACATATAGCACGACACGATTAACTGTCGTTCACGATTTTTTGTCGTTACAACGACAAACTGTCGTTACAGTGAGAGTAGCTAGAACGACACTCATCCGACGATAAAAAAAGTCACGATAAAAACTTGACGATAGATTGTCGCAGCTCCTATTGTCGTCTGAATTTTTTGGCGATAAATGTATTTGAAATTGATTTCATGTCTATATGAAATTTAGGTAATAATTGAAAATACAGTTCAGTAAAAATTATTATTAGCAATAAGTGTACGAATAATATATATTATATAATATATGTTAAAATAATTGTATCATTAGATTTACGTTTAAATTGTGCTACGCCCTAACAGGGTATCACATGTATGTATCTAAGTTTATTAAAATATGAATTGCAATAAATGAAATTAAATTAAATGTAATAGTAACAAAAGTGTTTAATAATTATAAAAATAATAATTTAATTAATTTTAAGATAAAAATATTGTGTAATAATTATGTTTATTAATAATTATAGAATCTATAATATAATTAATTATCTAAACTAATTAACTACGTTCAACCTTGCAATGTATTTAAATTCCATTGTAACTTTGCTACACCCTTACAGGGTATCACATGTATAAGTTTATCATCCATGTGAAATGCAAATAAATGAATGAATATGAATATGAAAACCTACTACCAAATACAGGCCTAAAAAGTGTTAGACAGTACAAAAAAAACCTTGAAAGTTTATTTTTGTTAAATTTATCATGTTACATCAAAAGTTATGGGACCAAAGTTGTTGTTTATGATGTGAGTAATTTAGTCCTGCAAGGTTGTAAGTATTTTTTTTTTCAAAATAACCCTGTATTATATTGGGGGGATCATACACCGAACAGTGGTATGTAGATTAATTATAAACAAGTTAATCGATAGATATGATAGCAGATAAAGATTACGATAGGTTTGATTTTATCATTTAATACATCCTTTCCACGTATAGAATATTGATAACAAAAATTTCCTGTTATCTGTCACAGTCAAAGTCAAGTCAAATAATCATTTATTCCATGGGTAAAATATTTACACTTCATTTTTTAAGCTACTGCTCGATCACTACATTGACCTCGCTGAGTGGGATCTAGATTCTAGACTAGACTCATATTTGTGTGGAATCTAGACTCACGTTGTCTTTCCATACATCTTTATCTAACACGTACAATTTCGTAATATGACTTTTCAATTAAAACACTTTTGATGTAAGTTTTAAATTTAGGAAATGGTAAAATTAATATATGCTCCGGAATCTTATTGTAAAAACGTATACAGTTCCCCATAAAATAATCGTTTACCTTAGTTTACGAAATCGTGGTACCATGAGTTTGGATTTAGTTGTAAGGTTAATATTATGGATATCTTCTTTCTTAACGAAGTTATGTATAGTTTTACGGGCATACAAAATATTTGAGTAATTTGTTATCTGTTGGTTGTCTATGTGTGCGTCCATGGCATGGCATGTTCAATGTGTGTGCGTTATTATCTGAATCGTAATAAGTTAATCATTTTATTTGGAAGTGGTGAAACAAAATCCCCAATCAATTTTTATGCACATGAATCTTATATATAATACAAAATACCAGTTCAAGTTAAATATAACAATAATTATGGTAAAAGAGTTTGGATGTGTGAACTTCCTGTGATATTAAATAGTTTACCAAAAAATCTTATAAATGAAATAACAGTAAAAAATCCTATTCAAGTCAAAAACAAATTAAAAAGATTTTATATGAAAGATCAAGACCAGAGGAGGCATACGCAAACTGGTCATTGATTTAATTGTTGTACCTTACGTATTAACGCAACTCACTAGAAAAGGATAAATAATCTTTAATTTTAAGATTCTACCTTGAATGTACTGTAACTTGTTATTAATATTTGTAACTCACTCGTCGCATTTGGCACTACTCGTCGGCGGATTGGGATGGTATGCGCGACTACTTTGCGTCCATCCCTTGGTTGCAGCACTGCTTTGCGGGAAAGGATGCCTCAGCAGCTGCCGATGCTGTTGTCGATGAGATTGGAACGGCTATGAATTACTACATACCGTCTTCCAGTGTCATCGCCAATCGCAGAGGACGCCCTTGGTTCAATCGCGAATGCATGGACGCTGTTAGTGAGAAACAGGCTGCATATCGTGGTTGGATCAAGGGTCGTGTAACAAAGGATCCCAACCTTGCGTCCCTTAAAGCAGCCTATAACAAAGCAACCAAGTCTTGCAGGAGGGCTTACATAAGAGCGGATGCCCAGCGCGTTTCACGGATTGGCCAGAAGCTGGTAGCCCATCCCACCGGTAGCCGTGCCTACTGGAGCCTGGCCAAAGCCGTGCAGTCCAATTTTTGTCGTTCGTCGCTGCCGCCTTTGAGGTGTCCCAATGGATTTTTGGCCTATGGCCCCGAAGAGAAAGCCAATTTATTGGCCGACCTTTTTGGGGCTAACTCGCGCATTCACGACCAAGATGCGCAACCGCCGTCAATTCCCCACTGCGGAGTCACAATGCCTGATATAGTTATCAGGCAATGTGATGTCCGCAAGGAACTGCAGACTCTTGACGTGAGGAAGGCCTATGGTCCAGATGGGATACCTCCTATCGTCCTTAAAAGGTGTGCGGCGGAGTTGTCTCCCGTACTGACGCGCTTATACCGCCTCTCATACCAATCTGGTAACGTGCCCCTAGCTTGGAGGGAGGCCAACGTGCAACCTATCCCCAAGAAAGGAGATCGGTCTGATCCGACAAACTATCGCCCAATAGCTGTCACTTCAGTGCTCTGCAAAGTTATGGAGCGGATTCTAAATATCCAGATAATCCGGCACCTGGAACGTCACTCCATTCTTAATGATCGACAGTACGGCTATCGACAAACAGGGCGAAACCTTAGCGATAAGTCTGGATATTGCTGAGGCCTTTGATCGGGTCTGGCACCGTGGTCTCCTCTCCAAGCTTCCGGCATATGGTCTTCCCGGCCGCCTTTGTGAATGGATCTCCGGCTTTCTGCGCGAGCGAAGATTGCGTGTCCTTGTTGACGGAGGCACTTCGCGGCTCGTGACAGTTAATGCTGGGGTGCCACAGGGCTCCGTGCTGTCGCCCACGCTGTTCCTTCTGCATATCAATGACTTGTTGCCTTTTGACAACATTCATTGCTATGCAGATGATAGCACAGTGCACGGTTGCTATTATAAGCAACCGTCAAGCAGCCGAGAGGACCCTGAGAGAAACCGGGAAAAACTTGTCGCTGAGCTCAACCA